GGGGGGGGGGGGGGGTCAAAATGTTTTAGCATGACACGCAATCATGCTACCATAACCGTCTCCGATGGGTGGGTGCCCTTCTTGTGCGCAATTTTACTCGAAAAGAGCAGACCAGTGCCGCAACATCTGGGTCTAGAAGAAAACAGCGTGTGTGCCACACCAATAGAGCTCTATCCAAGACATCGCTCCCAGCCATGAAAGACCAGCTGGCGCACCGCCCCATAACAGCGAAACTGCAATATTCTGGCCACGCGCAAAAACGGTGAAAACAAACACACACACACTAATATTGGTGTGCTCGAATTTGAAAGTGCACGTACCGCGGCGTTGCCCACAGACTTTTTACGCAGTTCTCGCAGCACCGCCGGCCAATCCGTGCACGCGTAGGGGTTGTCTCTCCTACGGCGCCTGCGTCACGATCGCCGCGAAACAGGACGGATGCACAGGGAGGGGAGGGGGGTACGCAATATCATGAGTGGGGCGGGTGGCACGGGGACTTACAACACATTTCAGAAGTCAGCCCTTAGACCAAAAAGGGTACGGGCGCTGGGAACCACAGAGAGAGCACCTGCATATGTACCCAGTCGATACGTTTCCAGATGCTTTGTCCCGCCCAGGGTCGGGTTCGTTGATAATTTTTTCGGGCCGCACTGCTATTTTCTACATTCGAGTTGTTCAGGATACAGCAGTGGCCACTTGTGGGCGGCGGGGTTGGGTGTGAGGAGAGGCCGCCATCGCACAGCCTTCGGAGGATAGATACCACCAGCCAGCTACCTCGCTACGTGTACACCCGGAGCCCCGCGGTCGTAAGCGGACTACAGTAGATACACCCGGAAAGCCGCTGATGACATCCACAGATCCCCGGTCACAACAAGAAAACACCAAACGTTCCAAGTAAGGGCATGGAACACGAAAGCCCCGCGCGGGCTCTTGCCGATGGGTGGAATTTACCACGAACAATACTCCTAAAATAAGGAGGGGAGCAACATGTGCTTGGGCGCAGATCTGTTGTACATTTCACAACCAACCCGTGAAGTTGTAACATTTTCTTTGTCATCACTTGAAATCAGCGTTCACACGCGCCGCATTTTGCCGTGTAGGGACTCCCAATCCGTGCTCATGGGCGTTCTGTACACACGGAAAATAGCACAAAATTCCGTACATACCTATCCCCAAGATATACACACGTACAAGGACAATGAATGATACAGAGTCAGGACCATACCTCTCGGTCAGCCCTATGCGGACGCCAAGGAACAGCTCGTCCACGATGAAGAGAGCCAGGTTTTGGAAGAAGAGCGACCTTGCGGCGGTGAGAGTCATCCTGGCGGCTGCCATGCTCCGAGACATGCGCTCCGTCTTGCGCAGCGCCGACAGAGCTACGTTCTGCGTGTCGACGACGGAGTAACGGCCAATACAGAACGCAGCCGCACTTGACTTACTTTTTTAGTTGAGAGAAACTGACATAGCAAAAAAAAACTCAAAATCCAGAACTTGAGCACCATTTGTGAGCTCGGCGAAGAACCCCTACACAAAACCTATATAGCGACCATTCGTAGCATGACCTTAGATAGGAACTAAGCACCCACCGGCCCACCGGCCACAGTAGAGGTTCTGTAGCGGCATCGACACGATAGGCGTCAGTGGGCACCAGCGAGGGACCGCCGTGGGCACCAGCGAGGGACCGTTCTCTACCGTAGCAACACCATCGGCACTGTCTCTTGCATCTGCAGTATCATGGACCGATCTCTATCGCAGAAACACCACCTGCTGCTGCGCAACCCAAACTACTTCTGCACTTGAAACAACTACTGCACTTTTAGTACATCAGAAGTTAAATCACACAACAACGCCCTCCGACTGATGTTGAGAGTACTCGAGAATGGCAGACGGATGTTAAAAGTCTGGAGAAAGCATGCACGGATTGGGATCAAAGGGTACGCAAAAAACTCAACACCACAGCACTAACATCTCCAATCATTGCACCCAAGTGTGTATGAATCAGAAGGGCGATGATAGCCAGAGCTGCTAGGCACATGCCATAACAAAATCCTGGAGGATCAGGGCCAGGGATAGGATTGTTGCGGTCCAGGCTAAACAGCAGCAGCTTGCCTTGCCTTTGTCAAACGATCGGCCGTCCGGGCAGGAAGGCGCAAGACGGCCTGCCACTCCAGCAGCCGCTGTGTCGACACCGTCATCACGCTGTGCAACACTCTCCGGAAAGTCTGTTTTACAGGATACAAGGGTAGAGTTTGGAGGTTGGGGACAGGCGGACGGTCGTCACCTAGATTAAACTCTCGGGGACGGTGGTTAGGGTACCCGCCGAAGACAAGTCCCACACAAAAGAACGCAAAACTAGCAGGAGCCAAACGGAGGCAAGCATTGCATAAGACATACGCACACCTCGTTCTGTGGTGATTGGTGATGGGAGAAGATTCCCGCAGGGCTTGACACGAAAAACATATAACAACGGCGGGGGGCAAGAATACCGATACCAGGCGCGTTCTTTTATGTCTCTTCGTTCTTTTCGTCTCGACCTTGATGTTGCTTTTCGGTAATAGTTACGATGCGCAACACGATATAATTTTTCCCATGTTTAAGTGGTGTAACTTGGGACTCACGCCAAAAACGGGAAAAGCGAGAGAGAGAGAGAGAGAGAGAGAGTGCTCGAAGACCTCACTGCTCTGCCTTGGTGACGATCGAAAACGGCGGCTCATTTCTTCGTTCACAACTACAACGACACAAGCCAAAACTGCTCCAAACCCACACTCCTCACCCCACAAGAACAGCACAGAAGCCAAGGCGCCATCTTTCTTTCTTTCTGCGACGTACCAAGGCTGGGAAGAGCTCGAAGGACTTGCTCAGGGACGCGGCCACGTCCCCGTCGGCCCGGTCCCCTTCCTCTCTCTTTTCTTCGTCCCCCGCTCGCTCAAACACCAGCTCGCCGTCCTGGCCTACGTACACCCGTCGGATGTTGGTACCGAACGGGTCACCACCAACCCTGCCGCCGCCAAAGCTCCCTCGTCCGCCTCCACTTTGGTTATCGTCCTGCCGATACGATCGATGCCGATAGCGCGTTGTGGATATTCAACTCCGTGCGGAAGGTGGATTGTGCAATGCGGAGGGTTTTGTCAGCCGGTAAGTACTTATGCAGCAGGTTAACGAACCACACAAACATGGACAGAAGCAGTGTCGCAGGCCTAAACAGGTAGTAGATTCTAACACCGAGGATCGTCAAAAAAAAAAAGGAAACGGGGCGCTCGCAGCCATGACCGGCACCCAGACCACCACCCGCCGTTCTTGTCGCCGTACAGAAGCACGTGTTCACGTCGTATGGGAGATGGAGCCTATGAAACAAAGAAATGGGGCAATCTAATACCCTCGTGGCTGCCATCTAATACATATTTCGTCAGGCTGTCGTTGTCCCACGGTACAAGGGGCTGCAGCAGCAGCAGCTGCAGCTGCAGCAGCGCCGGCGGCGAATCTGCACAAAGTCTACAAAACGACCACATTTTTTAGGCACGTCACAGACGGTGCTCTCATCACTGCGGCTGCCGTTAGCTGCTGCTGCTGCTGCTGCGGATAAAGCAGTACATAAAAGTTGCCCTTTCCACATCCAGCAAGTGTTCTGACAAACCCTCTTCCTCCGTACAGCAGCTATGCTGTGAGACAACACTCCGCCGCCGCAGCAACCAGTGATACCAAGGAGGGCGTACAGAAGATAGATGCAACAGCAGTACATACATACATCATCAGCTTCACCTCATCTAAGTTTTCCAAGATGACTTCGTTGAGCATGGGCGCGGCCACCACGAAACCCGACTTGACGACGGTGAAGGCCAGCCGCCGAGGAGAAAGGTGCGCGTAAGGGTCCTTACGGTCGCACAGGAGCTCGCGCCTTGGTCGGATTGACACGCAGAGCGGGAGAATACACGAGGGGCGATGGGGCGGAAACTCATAATATATCGGGGGGGGGAGTCGTAGACGGCTGCCGTGGACGGTCAGAATGCACGTGGGGGTTACGCGAGGTCTGCCAGGGTATAGAGGGGGGTCTTGCATCTTTGCTGTCGAAAAGCACACGATGCAATCGAGACAATGTACCAGAGATGACTGGCAGCAGGTGTATCGATGGCTTGTGTCCAATAAAAAACGATAGAGACATGTAGCGAGGGTTAGGAGGTTCCCTTGTAGCTCGGCGTGAGCTTCGACGGACCTTACCATCGTGTAGGAGCTACCGTAGGTTGTTGCATGAGATACCACACCCCCTGGAACGATTTTCAAAACTTCATTACTCCACGACGAAGAGGATATGCTGAAATGAAAGGATGTGTTGTCGGGAGCTCTCGACGAGACGGTTCCAACGCCTCCCGCCATTTTCGGCACCGTCACTGCTTTTCGTGCCGAGAAATCGAGCTTTGAAAGTCGGGCCAGGGGGTGTGATGTCTCATGCAACCTACGGGTACACACATACCACGCCTTGGAAAATACAAGAATTACAGGTAAAGAGTCCTGCGACAGGACGGAAAACACAGGCAAACCAAACCAACATGGCGAGGTGGTCCAATAGGCATACAGATGGATAGCACGAGCAAGAGGGACAGCAGCCCGCGTCATACTGCTGCGTCTTGAACTGGACCGTTCGCAATCTTAATCTTGCCGTATGATAGACACGGGTACAGCAGGATCTACGCCTATGTACGGAGGAATCAGCTCTCTCCGCAGGCAGGTCCTGCCTGAAACATGTACACACCCATCCATCTTTGAGACGGGTAGAGCACTCTATCGACAGCCAGCGCACAGTCTTACTGGTCGTGGGGCCCACTTACTTGGGCGACGAAACGGAGAGCGCCAAAACCCGAGCACCATAGCCAAGTATCCCCTCCTTCCATCCTTTCTCTCGTCCACCCCCCTGCCCTCTCCCGTCCAGCAGCGATGGTGAAGCTGGAACAACCTTACCAACCTCAGCCGCCGGACCAACTGCAGCAGCAGTGGATGCGCGCTCGAACGAGAAGCCACCCAAGGGCAGCAGCATTTCTCTCTTCCTCCTGCTGTAGGTAGGTTGCTTCCCCTTGGCAACGGTCTCGGCGGCAGGGTGGGACGAGAAGGAGGTGGTGATGTCATGGCCATGGTTGATGATGCCGCCTACCGGCAAGGTCAACGCTCTCGGGACGGTGTAGTTGGACGGGTCAACATGCACTCTCCTTTCGCCGATTTTACGGGAAGAAGCTTGGTAGCGACGTTGCCGTCGATGTTGCGGGAAGGCCATGGTGGTGGATAGCGTTAGAGTTAGAGAGACAGACAGAGCGTGCCTGATGCAAGGCAGCAGCAGGCAAAGGCGGAGTGTACCGGCCAGTTGCGCTGTTGGGCACGTGCTTTTTGACGCGAGAGGCGACGCAGAGTGCACGATAGTGGACCGAATCCACCACGGAGCTCCCAACAAAAATGAAACCGCCCGCGTGCGTGGCAGTGGTTTTTCCAGCGGTCCTGCCGAAACTCTGGTGTGTACTAATGAGTGACATGTTGGGAGAGGGTTCCTTCCATTCCAGAGCTAGGGTAGACAGTAGAGTATGTTGCGGAGTCACGTTAGAAGTCAATGGTCTACCTTCATTGTAGCAGAGAGAGGAAGGATCGGTGGCCGATTGGTTCGATTCCAGTCGTGTGTGCGCAACAACAATAATAATCAAGCTGCTCGTCCACCAGGGTTCAGGCACAGGGCCGTTGATAGCCTCGGTTGCTTATACAGACCCGGCCCTACCGCTAGGCTTGTGGAACCTTCAGACAAATAAGGCGAGGCTGATGGCCCTCTCTCACGATCGTGCGCTCAACAAAAACAACGCGGATCTTCTGGAGCAACCACGCCATGGATGGATCTCCAACAGGGCAACAACGACGACAGCGCAATTAATTTCTGACGAACGTGTTTATTTTTCATGTTTTCGCTACAGTACACAGTAAAAATAACAAAGTTGTTCTTCTTCATTCAGGGATCTTTTGTAAACCGTCTGCTGTATCATCAGCGGCTCGATTGGCGCGCCCTGATTCAATTCTCAGTGCTGCAACCAAGGCAACACATGCGAGAAAAGGTTCACGAGTCACCCCTCTTCAAACTATAGCACGAAGACAACACGACGACCGACGGAGGACAGACACCTCGGCACAACGAAGGACCAAAGACGTCCAAGGACAAGCCAACTCAAAAGAGACAAGGAAGACATTCGGCACGCAAGAACAACACGACATGCAAGTAGGGACGAATGAATCCCACCGAGCGACCAAGTGGCCGAGAATCAATGTCACGTTGTACCGACCCTCGCTGCAGAATCATATCTATGTCAAGCGTACAGCTCCTGGCAAATAAACGGACGAACGAGGGAATAACGCCCAAAAAGATGAAAGATAAAGTACCAGGTGTATCGTCTCGTAATCGAACCCTTGGGACCACAGCTCTACACCTACGGACTACTACCTGCCAACTATACGAAACGAAACCTTTTACGAAACCTTTTACACACGATACGTAAGAGGAGCCTAATCAGATTTGAGAAAAGACAACAGAGTAAACCAACAAAACAGTCGGAGGTCAACGTGTAAGGAAACAGAGCAAAGTAAACGCAACGGCTAACAACATAAGAACAAAATAAAGAAAGACGAGAATCGGGTCGCGAGCTAGCCTAGAACGGATTGCGGGCTAGCCGCCACCCAGAACAACATCGCTCTAAAGCTATAAAATGATAAGCCAACATGGGGCTTAAAAAGATAGACAGGAAGGGCATGCAGTCTCCAACATCAACCCTTCCCGCAACAGGAACCAGACGTACTATCTCATGACAGACTCCGGCAGCACACGCCACGTTGGCAAAGACACGTGCACGCAAATCATTAATACCCAACATCACCAGTGTCGATGTCACAACACGTAAAGTGGGGTTGGTAATACCCAGAGCTGCAGAAACCAGCGAGACTAATCTACCGAAAACATAGAAGGAACAACCTTTGACGTATTGAGAGGCCACCACTCAGCAGCTGCATTCACACCATCGCGCCAAGCTCGCACGACCTCTCCAACCTGCCTAAACACAACATCTCTGTGCGTGCCAACCAAGCGACCTCGCGTGTACAAGCTAGCGTTAGGGAGCGGGAGCCGTCGCCAAAAGGGACAACCTTCAATCTTCCCAATGGATACCATCATGAAGACACGATCGAGTTTGATTCCAGAAACAGAGAAATAAAAATAAAGACGCACCAGTAGCGCAACTAGCCTACCCACTCGTACCCTCACCATGTCGAACAACCACGTCGTTCTTGTCACGCACAACAGAAGTTACCCGCTCTGTGTCGTGTAGTGTCGTGCCCCAATTGTTCACCCGCAGGTGACTACCGCGTGTACACATTTTGATACAAGGTACAAACAAAAACACCCGACGCCCATGAACAGCACACCAACGACTTAGTATCAAGAAACCCCACATGCACGGTGAGAACCGGCGGCAAACCCAAACCGCCAACTTGTAAAATAAAAGGCTGAGACGTGGCTGCTATCCGTGTCCCAACAAACACACTCCGATACATGAATGATCTCGACAGAAATGCACCCCCAACCTACCCACCATCGCCTAAAAGCAAAACTAACTCCCGTCCAACTTCTCCGACCTCACGAACCCCCCCTAGCGTCAGGTGAGGGAGGTTTGCCGGTAATCGAGGTTTTATCAACATGAACACATTTATTGTCTTGGTGATACTAGGAATAGTGCGGGTCTTAACCCGCAAGCCGTGCAAGCGAAACGTGGCAACAGCACCACCGAGGATAGCAGGAATGCCATTGCCTTGCTTCAGCGCCCACGGGAAAATACGTCAAATCCCAACAACGCAGTGTAATCTCCCATGCTTGATACGTAAGCCGACACTCGATGGGCTCCCTCCCGGCAGACTTTCGAAACAAAGCCGTCGACAGAAAACGACTTACCCTCGCACCGTACCATGAAAACCTTGATACAGTGCCACACCCTACAAAGGAAACTAGCTACTACCCATCGCCACCTTTCCCGAGCAGCACCAGCCCGGAAACTCCCATTCTTGCTGAGATCAGTGACTGGGTGCTTTGCACACTTTCATACACACACGTGACGCTGCTTCTAGTCCCCCCCAACAGGACCAGCGACACCTGTTTCAACCCGAAGAAACCCAAATAAATGCACACCGGCCAAGGACCGAACCCGTCGGAACTGCAGCGTCTAGCAACAGCTGACCACACAACCACCAACCACGGAAAAACAAACCCGCTCCCTTATATAATGACGATGACCTTCAGCCAAACAGACGACAAAAAATCGATGGAAAGGTGCAGCCTAGGACTGGTGCGCGTTATGACAGCCGCTTCATACCAAAACAAACCTAGCTACCATGGTTATGCGTGGAACAGGCATGGACTGCATCAGGCCGGGAAAAAACATACAGGATAGACAAGAGCCTGACAACAAGCAACACAATCCTCCGGCAGCGAGGTACGTTTCCGAATCCCCTCTCCCAAGAAAAAAACAAACGCCAGCAGGGCGCCCGCCCGCCCCGAACGAAACTTCAGGCAACACCGAAGTCACAGCATCACCTTGAACGTTTTCATTCACACGATCACCGGCCGTTTCTTTCCGCGAAAGGGCACCGTGCCTACAGACGTACGTACCACATTTCAAGAACGGCACTCTCTACCACGGCAATTTAATCCCGGCCGATCGGCGTACTTAACGGTGGGTTGGTTACCCTCCCAGCCTTTGGATGAACATCGAAATCCCGGATATGACCCCTGGGTGTACCCGGACCTCTGCAATTACCTCATCTCTCTTCCTCGCACGCCACAGGCGCCTTGATTATCGGTGCCAGCGGGTACGCCCACTGCTACACAAACCTGAGAATCGGTGACCATGCGGAGCGGAGGGCAACGACCAAGTCAGGATGCGTTTCAGTGTTGCGAGAGCGGGCACTTTCACACTATTTGTAGGCTGCAAGGCGCACAGATGGACAGCAACTGCCTTTCCACAAACAACCTATACACAAGCACTGGACAGCACTCCGGGAGCCACAACGAGCAACACAACCACCACCCGATACTGAACTCTATGAATACAGTACCGATGACAAACGTCAGCCTAGCTTCAACTTTAGCACTGCTGTCTCGATCGCAAGTACACACGGTGCGAATCTTACCTCTGCCACTACCGCCGCAAAATGATCACCAGGCGGAGAACAGGTCCGCGTTAAGAGGGGTGGGCCTTCGAGCGGAGGACCAGATCCCGGGAGAGGGGAGCCAGATGCCCGACTCTCCGTCCTTCATCCTCCTTCGCCGGTCTCCGTACTGACGGTTCGCCTCGACCTGAAGCGCCGCCACCGCCGCCCTCCTCCTCGCTCCATCCACCGCCGCCCCCCTGGCGAACAAGCTGTGCCGCTGCTGCTGCTGCTGCTGCTGCTGCAGCTTGTTGGTGGTGTTGTTGGAGCTCCTCCCTCCCCAGACCCAGGAGTCGGAGGACGAGCTGGGGTCGTGCGTGGTCGCGTCCGGTTTGTTCTTCTGCGCAGCGGTGGCCTTCGCGGCGGGAGCCGCGGCGGTGCGGGGGGCAACGGCCGCCGGGGGGAGCGGGGACCGCGAGTACGGGTTCAAGAACAAGGTCTTCTTGTTGTCGTCGCCGTCCTCCTCGAAGATCGACGAAGACGACGACGCCAAGCGGTTCTTGACCGTCATGTACGGCGGCGACAGCGAGGGCGACGAGGCGAAGCACGTGCCTTCCGTGCCGGCGGCGCTGGGGCTGGACGCGAAGCAGTCGCGACGACGCAGGCGGGACGAGTGGCGTGCGGCCAGCAACGCGGCCACGTTGTACCGCTGCTTCTGTGGCGCGGGGGGGCGGGGGGCGGTGTGGAGCGGTGCGGGCGGCGGCGACTTCTCTGCCGGGTGCGGAACCGGCGTGGGCAGCGCGGATGGAGGGTCGAATGCAGGGCGGGCTTCTTCTTCCTCTTGCCGTTCTTCCTCCTGCCGCTCGTTCACTTCGGAGAGCTTGGACAGCTGCGAAGGTGTTTCTCCGGCGACCTTGGAAACCCCCCGTCTCCGAGGAGGCGTCGTCGCCGCCGTGGACTCTACGGCACAAGAAGAAGGCATGGGCTTCGCCCCGGCCGCCGCCGCTGCCGCTTCTTTCCCTCGGTGAGCGCCGTTGTCGTTCATCGACAGCGCTCGGGCGAGGAACGATTTCTCCGACATGCTGCTGGTGGCCTTGGAGCGAGCGATCCAACGGGAGGTGGACTTCCGGCACCGCTTGTTCGACTCTGTAGCTCGAAAGCGTTTCCGCCAACGGAGGGGCATGAGGAGCTGGACCGACGGCAGGCTGGAGGTGATGTTCTTGCCCAATCCAGAGCTGCGGCACAGCGAGGCGGGGGGGGGGGATCAGGGAACGGCCAGGTCAAACAACGCGGTACACAACAAGAGAAGTAACTTGGGCCGTTTGGGCCAGTGGCGGGTCGGGGTTGTTGAATCGTCCGTCAGATGCTGACCACCGAGATATTCCTCTATTTTTTTCTTCAACATGAAACAAATAATCCATCTCTATCCGCGTTAAGAAACAAAGCAATGAATTCGAAGCGTTAGCGGAGCACCACCATTGTTTCTACGGTTTCCCGAGCAGCGCACATCGTTTCTCCCCTGTGCGTAGCAGGCTCTGCAAGACAGTTCGGTAAAGTTATTGTCCAGGCAAATCATCGGCTAGAAGTTTGGAAGTTTACGTGCCGATATATTTATCCATAGCGTTCCGCGACACTGGTTCCGTCAATTGTTGTTGTTGTTGTTGTTGTCTTCACATTAAAAACCGTTCCGATCTCTCTCTACCCAGTACCTTCGTATGTCCGTACTGATCCAACACTCGACGCGGTCGATTCCCGTCGTCACAGGTTAACTTGCCCTAAAAAGGTACGCTCAAACAAACTGGCCCCGAGGGGTCCGCAAGCCAATGCGTCTACTCCGTTTGTATTTTCCGCTTTACCTTGCTACAAATCCACCAGTCCGATTATTTTTCTGGAAAGCGTGGGACTGCACTACTGCTGTCCGTGAGGTTCCGCTACTTGTAGCCGAGGTCACACAGTTGATGAATTGCTCCTGGTATGGTATGCGTAGAATTTTGCCGTTTGACAAATTTTGAAATTTTCGTAGGCATAGTAGAGGTTGCCGTTTGATTCTCTCGAGTCCGATGCGTACGCATGTGCATGGGCGCGAAATTGCGCCAGAGCGCCGGTCAAGCCTGCAGCAACTCATTCCTGGCCCTCGACAAACAAACACGGTTTCAACGGCACTCCAAACAGCATCGTGGTAGGGATTCTAAGCCACACGACCTTGTGGGTCCAATGGATACGGGGCGGTTTTAACTAAGAAAAAATAAATACACACAGAAGGAGGTTGTTGGAACGTTGGAACATGTGTTCCACAAGGCGGTCGGAAAATGCCAGGGAAACATGGTTGTCTTTTGCATAACCACGAGAGGAAGATTGAGATTCATTCGCCTGCTTTGGCGTGCACCATGGACGATCATTGGAAGCTCGTTAGGGGTGGTGGGAGGAGCAAACTTTCTTTTCCATTGGCGCTCTCCATTCAAAGAGCAGAGGGCACGATGGTGCGCAACACCCTGGTCAGTGTCAAAAGCTTATGAAGAGTAATACGCGCATGTATGATGTGAGAAAAAATACGAACAATCACCACTTGGTAGAAGACAGACGAACGGACGGAACATACATGCGTTAACGGATGTGGGGGGAAGGGAGGAAATGGTTGAGAAAAAGCAAAAAAATCAAATGGTGCTGGCATGTGCAAGCAACAGCAGTACAATGCTCTCCCCGACACGACGTGGACCCACCACCACTCAATCAACGTTCAACCGACTGGCGACACTCCCCACACACGGTTGGCACACGGCAGCTCATTTTTCTCACATGGTCAAAGCCCTCGAGGAGGATGATGGCATCGTTTCGGCGGGGGGTCGGGTCGGGGGCTCCGGAAACATCATGGACATGTCGGAGAGACGGCTCAGGAAGGGCGCGTCCCAGTTAGCATCCTTGGGAGAGCTGGTCGTAGACTCTGTCATCGCCTCGGTGCTAGAATAGAAAGATGTTACGCACATCATGCATTGACCATTATTTCACGGCGGCGGCGGCGGCGGCGGTTGAGAGCGGGTTAATTGGTTTCAAAAAACGAGGAAGAGCTTGCCGATAACTATGCATACAACAGCAGTTGTGACGACCAAAATCCGACCGGTTGTGCCGTGGGCTACATCTCTGTTAAAATTTATGGCAAATAATTATTTGTTGTTGCCGTCTTCATTCACGCTTTTGGAAGTTTTTATGAACCAGCCCAGTGAAGTTCTTCTACAGCAGTAGCGGCAAAAAAAAAACGATCATCACAACGATCATGAACTAGACCACCTGCAGTGCTGCAGCAAATCTGGGATTAACTGGTGTTGTGTAGGTCACACCGAAGCCCAAAGAAATCGTAGTCTTTCGATATGCCTACAAGTCAGTACCTACCTGCATGAGCTCTCAAAGCTTGACGACGAAGAGTCGGCAAACATTTTCGTGCGTAAAACGTCGATATTCGCCGGCTGTGCTGGTTTGCTTGCGGCGTCACCCCCAAGATCATGCGCAACTGGCGAAAGGGTCTGCTGGTGCTGCTGCGCCTCCTCCACCTCCTCCTCCTCCTCCTCCTCCTCCTCCTCCTGCCCTTGGCCCCAGACCCACTTCGCGGGAACTGCCGCCGCCGCTGTGGTGGAAGCAGCGGCACGCCCCGACTTTCGCGACGTTTCCGAAGGCGCGTGGCTGCTTCGCCCCTGCTTGCTTACAGCGGCGGGAGGAACGGAGGGGTACTCGGATCCAGGGCGCCCGACAGATGAGGTGGGCTTCGCCTTGCTGCTGAGCGTGACGAACCGTTTCGAGGGGGGGCGAGAAAATACCGCAATTGGTCAGGGTTCACGGCAACACGAGCGTGGGATGGGTGGCGAGGTAGGGGATCAACGGGTTGGTGGGGCAAGAAGAAGATTGCTGGAGATTCTCGGCAATAAAAAAGTGCGCGAAGAGCAAGAGCCTGAAATCCGATCAGTTCTTCTAACCAGTAGGTGCGAGTGTGCCGGAGAAAGACGGGAAATGTGGGAGAGGGAAACGACGGGGAGAAGCCACTGCTGCCGTTGGAATGGACACACGGTCTACTCCTTGCTGGCTGAAGCCCTTGACCTACCTCCAACGAAACAGAGAGGAGCAAAAACCTGCTTCACGGGGGGAGCAAATCAATTTGCGATTGACCGCAGTCGCTCATCAGTGGACATGTTCGCTACCCTGGCCTGCAGGCAGAAAACGCGCACGACACTTGAAACACCGAACTGCAACACACACACACTCACAAGCAGCCTGCTGCTCCTGGCACCCCCGCCCTCCGCATCCCGGCCCTGACCAGAGACGCCTGCAGGTCTTGGAAGGTGTTGGTGTTGCCCGCGCGCCTTGAGGTCCCTTTCAAGGCCGCCGACCTGCTGCTGCTGCTGCTGCTGCTGCTGCTGCTATCGCGCGGTTTCGCCAGGGAGGTAGGTTCCATCTTCGGCACGCTGTGATGAATATGCCCAGGTTATCTCGGCGGTCGTGCTGTAACGCTCACGGCGATGTGTGGCATGTACAACGGGCTTGCCACCAACAGACGTTAGAGTAGTAGTGGTGTGTGCGTGGGCTGCCGGTAATGTAGGGGGCGGGGCGATGGCCAGAACCCTGAAGTAGTAGTGGTAAGTGAGCGGTTTCCAGTTAGAGGTAAGCGCAATGCTGTCGGGGCGAATGTTTCCAGCCAGCGATTCACAAGAAGATGCGCATCTCCTTTTTTTTTTTTTTGTGAACTTCGATATCTTGATGACGTCATGATGTCACCAACGGACACGTACTCACGGCGGAGCTTCTCGCTTTTTGGAAAATTTCGCCGGCAGTTTGCGGGTTTTCGGGCAGGTACGCAGGTGTACCCTACGGATCCACAGCAGTATCCACCAAGGGTGCAGCGCGAGGACCCTCCGAATATTGCTGCTGCAGAGCAGAGGGGCCGATTGGATCGGTAACAACAACAGCGTGACTGGTGTTTTTCTCGTGAGGGTGTCCCGGTTCGCACCTCCGCCCGCTGCTGTCGATCTGTCTGTGGACGGTGGACCGAGACCCAAAGTGAGGCCCCTTCACAACCACAAGTCTTTCGACGCATCTTACATTCGCGTTGCTGTCGTCATGTCTTCTTCATCATGTATGATGTGTGGTATTCATGAAAGAAGAGTGCAAAATACGCGTGCGTGCTTGTACAGGTAAGGTCTGTTCTTTGTTCTGTTCCGCTACATGATGGAGAAGAAGCCTCGGTCGGTACTTTCGCCGACATTGGCCGACATGACGACAGCGGCCCCAACCTTTTTTCTCTGTCTCTTCACAACGCTTTAGGACACAGCAGCATCAATCAGTCAGTTATGACACACAGATAGATCTATTATTTGTACCCTCGTCAGAATGGAGAGACCCGGGTTGGTTGTCGTGGTACAGCCGTAGTAATAGTTGCGCGCACTCTCCCTACTATACCGGCGTCGTGAGATTTGGCAAAAACGTGGAAAATGTCGGAGAGAGAGATGGTAGGTGGTGTGTGTCATGGCAAGAGGGCCGCCGGCGGGTGGTTGCAAAGAATGATGCCGGTACGTACTAGAATATTTGATCCGCTGAATCAAGAGCGGTCAGTTGGCGGTCAGATCATCGTCTTCCCACTCCGGGAGTGCTTGAGTCTATCTATGCAGATACATACTGACTGACTGCTCTTCTGCAGCAGCAAGGAACAGCAGTGTAATAATAATGTAGTATAAATAGACGGCACAGCAGTAGTCAGTACAGACAGACAGACAGATTTTTTTGCGTCATCTCTATTCCGCCCATCCATGTGGTGCGCGAATGGTTGGTGTGTTGAACGTTGTTTGAACGCACCTACCTACTCATCATCATCACTGGATGATGACGACGAGTGTTTATTTTGCTGCAGCAATCGATCGACTGGCAGGCTGATGACGATGAGGAGGATGTATAATGTCTGTCTGCCGGCTGCTACTTACATATATATCTAGGAGTACTACGTGCACTGTTGTTGTTGTCACTCGCTGCTCTTCTTGTTGTTTGTACACCACTCTCTTTTTCACCCATCACATTATTATACATGACGATCGAAAGAATGTCCGGTGGAGGCTTAGACTACACATTAAATGGTACAGCAGTAGATACCAAGTTTTTCTGTAAGTACAAGTAGAGAGAGGCAATTCACAAGAAGGAGACCAAAAAATCCAGAAATTCACATGTAAATATATACCCTCTACACGACGCGTTATTATTTGCTTTGCGCCCTCTCGACAACCATTCGTTGTTGTTTGTTGTGCTGCTCGCAGGGATATTGTACAAATAATTCTGTCGGGTGTTGTTCTCTCTTCTTGTTTGTCGCGTGCTTCGACTTGCGGCCGAAATTTCAAAAAACGTGATCTGATTGATGATGATCTGATAATGATGATATTTGTGTTTTCTGCGCCGTCGGGGGAGAGAAGAGCCGAGACGACTCAATTAATTGCATGTTTTCACCACTCACTGGGGAGGAATATTGCATTCAGGCAACGATACGTAGGGGGGACAAACATCCAAATGTTGTGGTATGGGGGGGGGGTCCCGTGCCGTCGTAGCAGGAGGCCCCCGCACAAATTCTGCATTCAGGCAGCCATTTAATTTTGTGGGGTAGGAAACGATGGGGGAATGGGGGGGGGGGGGGGGGTCATTGTCGTGCATGCCGTAGTCGTTTGACCGTTGACCTCGCACCCCTACAAAGCCGGGACGGAGCACGCCGGGTTCGCACTGGACCAGGCTCTCACATCACCAAGCGCGAAGCGCCGTGAGGTATTCGGCGAGTCGCATGAAGGGTGAGCTGCATCCTGCTAAGGGTGTTCGGCATCTTGTGCTTACTTCCTTGCGTACGGATGACAGCTGCGTATGACTTAATTTATTTTTCTGGTGCGTTCACTTCCAGAGACAGTTATAAGCACTGTGTAACTGCCTCGAGGATGCTTGACAATTTTAACACAACGTGGTGCGATCATCCCCCTTGCGCGGAGTGAGGTTTCTCCACCCCGCACAACATGATCTACTCGACCACCATTATGGTTATATTTACCGCCAAAAAAAAAAAACAGAGGTAAAAAAAAAACGGTAACCTGGTTGCCGAGTTCACGAAGTGAACTGGCTTGTTTTACAACGTCATTGCCAAGCGACGAAAACCCAATCCTGATGGCAAACACCGAGTGGTGGGCTTGTTTTACAACGTCGTTGCCAAGCGACGAAAACCCAACCCCGATGGCGAACACCGACGGGGGGCGGGTTGTTTACAACGTCGTTGCCAAGCGACGAAAACCCAGCCCCGATGGCAAACCCCGGGGCGGGGGGAATGGGGGGGGGGGGTGATATGTTCTTACTAGTACGGGGAGGGCGGTATGGGGGATGCTGTACGCCGATGATGCCGGCGTTGTATCGAGGTCTGCCGATGGACTGGCGAGAACGATGTGGCCGTCATCGTGGAGGGCCAGGTGTTCGGGAAGTTCGGGTTGACGGTATAGGAGAAGAAAACAGAGACGCTCCTGATGCGCTTGAAGGAGAAGCAGCCAACACCACCGCTACCCCGGCTACCACCGCTGATCATCGAGGCAGCAGGGCAGAGGTACGCCCAGACGGCTGAGTTCCGGTACCTATAGGTGTGGCCTCGTCAACGATTGGCGACCTCACCCGAGAGATCAATTACCGGAGAAGCACAGCGCGGGCGTGCGTCAGGAGATATGGCCGGGAGCTCTCCGACAGGCCGAGAGCACCGTTCCGACTCAAGACTCGCCTGCTCCAGGCGGAGGCATTGGAGGCACTGCTGTACGATTGCATGACGTTGGCCCCACGTCACGAACACTACCGGCTGTTGTGGTCGACACATCACCGGCTGGCTGCTCCTCCTGCGAGTATCGGTTACCAACGCAAGAATGGCACCTACCGGAAGCTTTCCTACGCCCAGACCCTGAAGAGGGAAGGGTGCCAGAGCGTGAAAGCCACTGTTCGGCGACGACGGCGCCTGCTGTTCGCGGGAGCATTGGCAAGGCAGCCAGACGGGCGACAGTTGATGCTTGGTGAGTGAGCTGGTGAGGGGGAAGGGCCCAGGCAGGGGGAAACCAGAGAAAAACTGGCAGATGTGCCTCAGGACGACCTCGAGATGTTCGAGGCAGAGCACGGATCCACGGACGCCGAGCCATGTGTCTTCGGAGTCCCGCAAACAACTTGGACGGAAGCAGCGAAGGTGGAGCGGGGTGTACCGTGGCATACGGGGGGACTGCTGGGAGCTAAGAGGTTCATGATGACCTGCTGGCACCAGGATGAAGGTGAGACTGGCCGGCAACGAGCGCTCAAACGAAACAAGAAGCCCGGCAACAACACGGACATGGGTGCGCAACAACCACTCACTGAGGCGGGTGGGGGGCAGCAGATGGACGACGAGGCGGCGAGGGAAGAAAACAAACGAGAAGAGGCGGACCGGCGCGACATTTTGAGCTGGATTGAAACCCTTGACGGACTAATCCCCCCCCCCCCCCAACGAAGAAGTTTAATGATAAATGGAGATTGTCTGCCAACCTTAAGAAAAATGCCCTCATGGTATGCCAAGAGGACAGGAGGGGACCCCTAAAACATAAATGGGAGTGGGGGATGGGAGGAAATTGCTATAG